TAGAAATATCCGTTGGAATGGTTGGAACAGTTCAAACCCAAGCATTTTTGTCTGTAATATAATCAGACACTTTTTATTAAGCTTTCTTAACAAGAGATTTTTTAATGGTAGATTTAAATTTAATCAGGCTTAACTCTTGAATATTGCTTGGGACTTTATTGTAAAAGCGAATACAGAGACCTCTAAACGAATTCTTAATTTTGTGGAGCCTAGTAGCAGGTAAAGTTAACTTGTTTTTACTTCTAGTATTAAGTGTATTTCACTATTTTTAGTAAATAAACTAATATTTTTTTGACATATACTAAGTTTTCATATATGTATTGTGATGCAACTATCATTATGCCTTTATCTCTTATGGAGTCAAGTTAACTTAAGTTCAAGGGAAGTACCCTGTAGGTTTTGGTTCCCGTGCGATTTCGAAAATTTGCGGAAATTTGCGGCATAAACGGCTGTATCTTTTGATTGCTTTGGCTTAGAAGTTTGATTTTTTCGCAGCTCTAAGGGACAGTAGACTTGAGTGTTAGATCTCTAAACATGACTTGAACAAGTGTTATGACAAGCTGTTTGTTAAGTATACACATTTTGCCAATTCATGAAAAAATTAAGTACCTTTTAGCAGTGGATCAATTAAACTCGGAATAGGCTAGTTGACTCATGTCGAATTGTATTAAATAAATGTTTATTTCTTAAAGTATTTGGTCTAAGGAAACTAAATATATCGATTTCACTTCATAAAAGCAGAAGATTGCTGAAGAAATTTAATTTTTAAAAATTATTTTTAGTGTATATTTTTTAAACAGTAAAGACGCTGTTCGCCACGTCCGCCATGATTGTGACGTCTCTTGTAGTAAACAACTAAATGTCATTCGCGTGTTACTATGGGTTCGTCTGACTAAATTTATCTCAAAACACTATTAAGTTTACAAAAGTTTCCGGTTACTGTTTTTCTTTGACAAAACTAATTATGGATGCCGGCTTTGTGAAAGCAGAAAGCACAAATCTGCCAAGAATTGACGCATTAATGGTTGGTGTATTTTTTGCACTAAACCCCGATTTCTGCTCTGCGGAGCAGAGAAACGACAAGGCATCTATGTAAGTACAGTGCATTTAGTATTACAATGTAGTAATAAACATAAAACTGATACAACATATGAATAAGTGTAATAAAGTTGCGTAGGTTAATTTCTTTCGGCACTTTAATCCACAACTTTCCTGGAGTTTTCAAGGATGTGTTTTTATATTCTCGTACAGTACAATAATGATAATTACTTTATTTTTCGTGGTATTTATTAGAAATCATGTTTCTTTTTATTATAAACTCAGATAAGTTATTTTCTACGTGCTTACGAGTTTTTGTTTACTACAGTTGACGTCATAGCATAGATAATCTATGGACTAAAATGGCCGACAGCGTTTTTGTATGTCGATGGAAGTCTATTTTAAAATTAAAGATTTGTAGCTTTCTAGGTCTCAAAAAAAATACAATACATTTTTTTCTGTCTAATAGAACATTTATTAACCATTTAAAACCTTTTTCCAAAAAGGGTCAACAAGTCTATTTAGTTTGTTGAAACCAAAAATTATAAATCGTAACCTATACCTAAGAGTTGCACTTCGTAAACAATTTGACGAACCGGGTGCACAAAATTATTATGGAAGGAGAACTCGGGAGTATTTAGTTCCACGAATATTTAATAGCTTGGATATGGAGGATTGTACCAGTGTATTAGGTTTCAAATGTAAAATAGAAAATAGTGTAAAAGAAAACAAATCCTGATAGAAAAAAAATATAAGCAAATCACAACTGTTAATAACATATATTTTGATTGATGCACGTACTCTATCTCCCTTGTTACTTACTTTAAACAAATTGTAATTCATTTATTTTATTATAAGAATTAATTTTCAATATTACTTGTGGCATTGGCATGTTAGAATAGGTGTATGTAATGACTGAATGGTTTTATTTAAGTCCAAACTAAATTAGATAAAAATACAGGCATTGTTTTTCTAGCGAATTTCAAATTAATATGATTAAAAATGAGTGCAATAGTGTTTTTCTCAGGAACGCGTAGAGGTATCAAACAGAAATTAATATTTTTCTTTGTAATTTATATATCTAATATAATTTTAATCTTTTAACTGTACTTTATAATTATAAAGTATAGTTAACCGATTAAAATTATATTAGATATTTAAATTACAAAAAAAGAAAACAGTTTCATACCTCTACGCGTTCCTGAGAAAAACGGTCTTGACAGACGGACAACAAAGTGATCATATAAGTGTTCCGTTTTTTTCCTTTCGAGGTACCCAACTCTAAAATAAAAAAAAATTATTTAAGAGACTAAGACGGATCCTGAAAGTAGCAGCGAATGCTTCTAGATTGTAACCTTGAGCGAAGCGAAGAATAAAAGGGTAAAGATATTCTTTTTTTTCATAAGTCGTGTTGTTTATTTTTAAAGTTAAAAAAATTTTTTTCATCCCTACAAATTATCTCGTTCATCTTTATCATGTAGCATTACATTTTAGACTGTTAATAAAAAAAACTATCAACAAGCATCGGTGGTTCGTTGGAAGAAGGTTCGCCTGCTACGTGGGTAGCCCGGGTTCGAATCCCAGCCGAGGAAGTGTTTTTTTTATTAATGATTTTAAAAGTTCACTTGCGTCGTGATTTTATAAAACCGCACCATTTTTTATCATTGCGAGAAAACGAATAGTTTTACAGGGACAATAACGATTTATGAGTATTATTATAAATGTAAAGGAGATTGCTCAGCTTCCATACATATTTGGCCTAAAGACCAATAATCATAAAAAAATGTTTCCTAGATTCGAAATTATATATAAATTACTGTAGAAACGAATATTATTGACGGCCACCCCTGAGAACTTCTATAAACCATATACACTGAACATATTAAAATAATAAAAAACAAATAAGTTATATAGTAAACTAGGGAAATCAAGCCAAGTACCGAAATTATGGATTAGATTCAGGTATATATAGCATGTAGATTAACAGATAGTTGCCTGTTTTTAAAGTTAATGCATAAGAGTAACTTTTAAAATCAGGTGTCATTTCCGGTTATAATAAGGTACTCTGTGACAGAAACTGTGTGATGATTGTGAATGAGCCACAGATTAGAGAGAATTTTTAAACTCTCGTTAACCAAAGAAAGCTAAGAGATTTAGGTTCTATAGCCATATATTCAGTAGCTTCATTATTTTTGTTACGTTTTTAAGATAACCATATTTTAGATTTTTAGTGTATCACACCTTATAATTTTATTTATTTATTAATTTATAGTCAGGGAACGTAGGCCCATAGATAGATACCTTAAAGTCTAACATATATACAGATTATAATATGTTTATGGAGGTGTTTGGCGAAAAATGTATGGCTAATAATAGACTTTATGATGTCGCCTACCATCTATAATAACTGTCTGAGCACATTTGCATCTAGTGAAAATGATAATGTAGCTGTGGATATTAATGCCACAGTGTAATAAAAAATTGATTTATTTTATTGATCTTTACAAAATAGATTTGTTTTTATGTTATATAAACAACTTCGATCAGACTTTGGCTGAATGTTACTACACCCATAGCCATTAAAAATGATTCGTATGTTTTCCAAACCGGTAAAATTAAAAGTCCTTTATAAAGTAAATATATTATACAAAGGTGTCCGTTGAAATCTAATGACTGTAAATTAAATTATAAATTACGCCAAGAATTACCGTGTATGTCAATATTTTTTGTGCATTTAGGCCAATTGGAGCAATCTCCTTTGTTTGTTTATGATTTGTATGACTCATGCATGTTCCAAATTCGAAATCTTATTGTTCACTCAGTAAATAAGAGAAAAATTTATTAACCGTTTTCGGTGAATGGAATGCACTTTTTCTTGTGCTATAGTTATATTTTTTATTTTTTTAAGCTTGCAACTGCTTGATGTTTTAATCTAAAGAAAACAAAACTAGAAAAAATCCACGCGGACCAGGCAGTAGATGGGACTCGAACCCGCACTCTTCGCTATCCGGGCAAATGCACTGACCAATTATGCTACAGCGGCCCTGACGGCCGCGTCTAAATTCTTCTAGACATTCTTAAGCTGCAAGGCAACGCCATCTCTTCGCATTCAAATGAATACTTTTACAAGCTTTTAAAGATCAAAATGGCTAGTTGGGAAATTACCTGTTATTTGATACAAATAAAAAGCACAAATTACTGAAAAATGACTAATTATTACAGTAAATTTTCAAAACTCCTTCCTCCAGCCTGAATACACAATTGACGTCTTAAAAAGTTAGGTTTTAATTGTATGAAGCTACTTGAATATTCTTGCTTTATTTTTCTTTCCGCTTCTGTAATAGTAGGGAGAGCCCAAGAGAGGATTTGGGGATTTACTCGAGCGCGGCAGATTAATATATGGGAAGATACCTTACATCTAGTTGAGTACCTCTACCAAATCTGAGTTCTCCATGTAGTGCCGCGCGCGTAGACCAGCCGATCAGAATAGTAAAAAAAAATCGATAGGCGGAAATACTCGAGCGTGTCAGATTAATGTATGGTGGTTTAATTACATGCTGGAAAGTGTGTATTTCAATAATCTGACGATTTGAGCTTGACGTAAGGGAGTGGGATTGTTGCAAAGTTGCAAAAAAATAACGATGGCTGCACATTCTCGAGTGCGGTTGATTTTTTTAAAATTTAAAGGTAATAATTAAAGGATCATGGAAAACATAAAAATTTTCGTTTAAGTCTAAATTTAAAGACCATTTTCTCAAACAGAAATCTCAAACTTAATGAATCATTCTCACGAAGTATCTTGTGTTTCTTATTAGTATTTATTTATCAGGCTTATATGTATGTTATGTATTATATAATATGTATATATATATGTGTAATGTGAATACTATATATATATATATATATATATATATATATACAACTATTATTTATTAATATAAGTTATTTACGGGATTGTTACCATGTACCTTGTTTTTAGCGAGTTTCCGATATTATAAAAACAAGGTACATGGTAACAATCCCGTAAATAACTTATATTACTATAATGTTAGTGACCATGAAAGTTTAAAACAATATATTATTTATTGTCTATATCCTGTAACAGTAGTAATAAATTATTTTTAGTTTAATTTTTATTGCACTTTCTGTTTCCCGCTAAGTTTTGATCTCCGACACCACCTAAGTTGGCTGCAAGAGATCTCTTTTAGAGATAAGCCCACCTTTACTTACTATGTATTTGACTTTTAAACTATATGATACAATAAAGAGTATAAAATTTATAATAATCTGCCGATTTGGACAAGGCGAAGTAACAAAAATCGTTAATAACGTGTTGCGCGTGCAGCTGCAGCAAAGCATGTATTTCATACTACGCGCCTCTCTCTATTTCGCTCTTTCTCTATCTTCCACTCTTTCGCACCGTCCCCACATCACTTCCTATCTACCATTACGCTTTCACAGCTGATCACAGCGCTCGTGAACCTCGTGGTAATATATGTACAACGCTCTGGTTTGTTTACAATACACAAATACAATGTTTTGTTGCATTGTTACCTATTTATGAATATTAAAAAAGCAATTATTATTTATTATTATTAATTTTCTGCAAATGTCAGACTTAGGCATCAAACTCACTTTTGTCCGAGTCTAGAGTACTCCACCTTATCTTCTGTAAGCTTACCAGAGACTGAAATGTAACACTTTTTTTTAATGTAATTTTATTATATTTATCTTCTTTTTTTAAATCAAACATGTCTGTAAATACGTGAATAAAAATTTTCGCCAAATTATCGCACGAACCGCTGAAGCAAATGAGCTGATTTTTTTTAATGAGTGTATGTTGGCCTAATTTAACCCTGATTAAATTTTCAGCTTATTTATATTTGCATGCTATTCTTTATGAATGTTATTTATCACATTCAATGATTGGAAAACAATGACGAAGAAACATTTCTTTAAACTGTCAGATTAAGGAAATCCCTCCGAATATTCGTCAGATTATGGATCAGCATAACCAGGGCATCAAGCTGAACCGCCTGTATGAAAATCTGACGCGAAGGCGATTTTTTTTTGCATTTTCAAAAAGTCTTCACTATAGTTTGTCCATTCTATTATAATCTTTTTGACAAATCGAGTTCCATGAAATTTCGTATTGTTAACGTTAAAATGTCATACAAATAATATTGTACTTCATGGACGGGTACCGCCCACTTAGTGATGTGCCACACATAATGATTACTAAGATTATGTCACAGATTACAAATAATCGGTAGAAATAAACGATTACAGAGTGAGTACAGCACATATATAGAGCTTACCGATGAACAGTTTGCTCAATACAAAGTAACAAATCAACACTATATGACTTGTGAAAATAATTAAATATTTCACGAGAGAAAAATACGTAGGCAAAATTTCCAAACGATTTTTATTGACAGAGAAAAAAAGAACAAAATTATTTTACAATAAAACGTCACTTTAAACGCGTAATAAAAAAAGTATGAAAAGGAGGTTAATAGTCTCTAAAAGACTACTCAACTTAACATTTAATAAAATGTTGAAAAAGAAGAATTACGTTGCTACTGCCGCAAGATCAGTGAACAAGTGACTTCAAAATGGCGCAATACACCACCACAACATGGTGTTGCCAACACTCAAAAATATTTAAACGTAAAAAGTCGAAAGATATAATTTTTTATAAACCTTTTTTTTAAATGAAATTATTATAATCAATAAATGTAATTGTACAGAGTATTAGGATAAACAAACATATAAAAAGTATACTGCTTTTTTTGTTATATATTTAAACATAGATAAATCACACCCAAACACAGAACAAATACTCGTGCTCATCATACAAACATTTGTACTAGATAAAATAATAAATCTAATGAAATTTTGTAATAATTTATTAAACACCAGTATTTTTGATAATTAAAATAATTTCGATACTTATAATCGACTAAACAATATTTTAGCATAAAATCGATCATAGCTTTAAATCGAACGAGTTATGTGATAGGATGTCACAATTTTTACATTGATCGATCTGTCAAAAAGATAATAATATAATGGACAGACTTTAGTTTGCGTCGCTTCCGAATCGTCAGACTTTTGGATCTGAGCTTCGTTTAGGCTCACTTAACATCCCCTCCAAATATCTGACGCGCTCGAGTAAATTTTATTTTTCCCCATTTTCAATCCATCCTTACGGCTAGTCCCACCATGCAAACCGGCAGATTAACATTCATCCGTCATCAGAGACAAAAGGGGCATATACAATAACAATATCTGACGCTCTCGAGTATTTCCGTGTGACTATTTTATTTTACTTTTTGAAAGCTTCTAGATGCTTTTTCCACCGGTGAAAGGGTATGCATCATTTAACCTTTTTTTCTTTCTACCATCTGATCTTCAAAATTCAATAGGTCTCCACAACGCTCGAGTAAATCCCCATTTAGCATCGTGGGCTCCCCTAACTCCCCTAAGTTTTTGTCTCAGTTCTTGTTCGCATTTTAAATCTTAGTGGTGAAACCGAAATTATTGTAAAATTACACATGCTAAAGTTATTGTACAGGAATTTCAATTAAATTTAATTTAAAATTACATTTTGAAGTTTAATTTACCATAACAATGATAAAAAGTAGATAAAATATTTTTTAATGTTTTAATCGTGTTTCAATGATTTTACGCCTATCCGCCTTCGAAGGCCAGTTACAACAAAAATAGGCTGAATAAGTACATTTTTTATGTTTTTGGTATTTTAGAAGCATGCAGAGTTTTTAATTGTAGCCAGAAGCTATAGAAACTCCTTTTTGTGTTTTTAAATTGAAGTTGAATGTTTGAGTAAATCCTACTACAAACTAAATTTCCAACTTTCAAGCCTTTTTTGAGTAACTTTAAGTAATTTCAGGAAGCTGAGTTATTTTTTTTATTAAAACAACATTCAAAACAATTATGTCACAAACAAAAGACTGCAAAATACTTACTACGAAAAAAGATATGAATTTTTGTAACTTCGCTGGCAGAAATCATTAAAAATACACAAAAAAAATTATAACTCGAAAACTAAGAAAAATCGCGGAACATATAACATATATTTTCGGATACACCCAGATGCGAAGAATCTAAAAACAAATTGTTGACGTCACTAATTGGACCACCCTGTATAGTAATGACGACCTTCATGGCCGAGTGGTTTGTGCGCCGGGTTTCAAGGTGTCGCTTACTCGAGAGGTTCTCGGTCCGAATCCCGGTGGGGGCACATGATTGTGTGATGAATACGAGCATTTGCACTCTAGTCTTAGATGTTATGAATTTCTATATAAATAAACTTACATTTAAAAAAAAACATTTTTTTTTGAGGAAATATAATCTAAATCTTTGTCTCTGGTAACTCAAAATTCACGGTGTATAAGTATGTTTGGAAAGACTTTAATGATAAATAAAACACAATTAGTCAGTGCAACACTTTATTTCAAAAATTTCTCCAAGAAACGATGGATTATTTAGTGAATCTGAAACAGATAAGAATGGTATCAGAACCTTTTTGATTTTCAATTTTTATAACAAAATGAAAAATGTCGTAATTGTATAAAGATTTACCATATGGAAAAGTCTTATTTGTTAAACGATTTTATAATTTTAATGTTAGGAAAAATCGTGAATGCTCAAGCAATGCAATGAATTTCTCATTTGGTGGATGCTTACTAGACACATGGAAGAATGATGCAATCCTTCACACTTAACATTAGGTAGGGCAAAGTAATTTACCATGGCTTACAGTTAGTGTTCATTTTTATAAGTTAGAATTATACATTTTCAATATTTCATAACATCAAACTAAGTAATATCCATAATTAAGTAAGAATTAATTAATTATTTAAGTAAGATCTCAAATCAATTTAAATTTTTAACCAGTGTAAAATATTCTATACATTTACTGATTTTATAACTTTTGCTTTTATTTAAATACACTCCCGGACACCTAAATCGAGCCACCTTGATTTTTTGGTTTGGAGTACTGTAACTTATAAAAGATGTATGTAGAAGGAAAATGTTTTGATGCGGTTTTGGAGCTGGTATACTCATCATTCATTTAGAGTGCCACTGTTCTAAATTTGAACTACAGTTTATTAAAAAAGTCGAGTTACGTTGAAACAAGTCCATATTTGCTTTTTTCAAGGAAAAAAATCTAATCGATTTTTAAATAAAGACATGTTTTACATGAAAAGAAATGTTTATTTAGTAACTTGTATTGCCTCCCAGTGCATTTATGACAGCTCTCATACGGTTTGGCATAGAATTAATCAATATCGTTATGACATGTTGAGGAATGTCCTGCCATTCTTCCAAAATTACATTTTTGAGCTCCTGCATGGTTTGCGGGGCAGGATGATGAGCTCGAACACGCCTCTTCAGCTCATCCCATAGATGCTCTATAGGATTCATATCAGGACTTCGCGCTGGTCATCTCATAACAGTGATATCAATGTCATTTAAGTACTCCCTGACGATTCCCGCAGTATGGGCCCTTGCATTATCATGCAATAAAACGAAATCTTGGCCAATAAATCCTGCATATGGCATCACGTGGTTCTCTAAATATTGGCGAATGTATCTATTGCCATCTAGGGGCGGCAGTCGTGGTCCCGTCCCTACCTCTAGCTCAGTTTTGCCTTCCATAGAGATTCCTCCCCAGACTGTCCGTGATCCTCCACCATAACTCACTTTCTCGTCAATACAGCATTGCACGAAACGCTCGTTCTGTCTTCGGTACACCTTACTCCATTGATGTCGAGTCCAATTTAGATATTCGCGCGCAAACTCTAGACGGGCTATTCGGTGTGCTCGTGTCAATTTGGGTCCGTTGGCTGGCTTATGGGGCTTTAAACCACGTTCATTGAGTCGCCTTCTAACGGTCCGAGCACTTACAGCCACTCCGTGAAAGTCCCTGAGCTGTTCTTGTATCTGAACAGAGTTAAGGCGTCGATTTCGTAAGCTAGTAGTGACAATGTATTGATCTTGTCTCACCGTTGTCACTCGGTAACGAGGTCCTCCTGTTCGCCGAACGAAGCCGCCAGTCTCCAGGTATCGGTGGTACGCTCTGTGAACAGCGGAACGACTTATGTGAAGTTGTGAACTCACATCTCGCTGACTTAGCCCAGATTGAAGAAGTGCTACAGCTTGCGCGGCTACTTCAGGTGAAGTATCCATAATTTTATAGCCAAAAATGGTTCAAATTATAGAAAAATAACTAAACTAAACTTTGGTTTACAACAATTGCGAAAATTCAAACCCAATCGACATTAAATTGCTTCAAAAGCAACTTTCAACAGTCATTATTTTTTTCAAATCAGTGACCAAGCTCGGCTTTTGTTCTTTATGTTAAATTCTAAAATTCAAATTTGGAATAATACATACGGGAAAGACGATGAAATATGCCAGCATTAAAAATGCATAAAAACTTTTTTGTTATATTGTATATTTTTTGTGTCGATTCAAGAGTCCGGGAGTGTATTTAGTACCTAGATATAGCCTATATAAAAGCCGATTAAATATTTATCAAATACGATTTCGTGCCAACGATAAAATTTAAACTCAGTGATTTAACATTAAGAACTATATTATTTTATTAATACATTCAATTACAATGCTTTAGTGCGCCCAAATTATTAACATACGTATGTAAAGAGATTAGTATCTTTGCAGATGACATATTATATGTTAATATTTATAACAATCACCTTATCCACTATACCATCCACAGAATAACAAAATATTGCGAACTTTAATGCAAAAAGCATAAGGGTGATCTGCTCTGACAACATACTCTCGTGGTGGCATGGAAGCAGGTGGAACTGCTACTATGACAGCTGCAAATAAAATTAAAGGCTGGTTAATAGATGTTTAATTTATGTTAAACAGAACTTGTTTCTGTGTTAGCACTGTTGATATTAGTGTGATATTGGATCAGATTACTTAACACTACCTCATCCAGTGAAAACTCCGCAGAAAAGTAGAATTTTTCTGATTTTTATACAATAAAGGTATGGATGATCTGCCTTCACGACGTATTGCATCTGAGGCCGCACGGAAGCCGTTCTAGTGGACACTATGAATGCTGTGGACATGATGGTGCATTGTGTTTAACTGCTTTAATACTTCTTAATCCGAGAGAAGGGCCGAGTATTTTTTGTCGTCTCAAAGGTCTGAGGAGAGCCTGAGGAGAGTATAAAAATTAAACATTAACACAACAGGTATAGAGATACCTGTTGTGTTAATGTTTAATTTTTATACTTCCATGGTTTATGACTTAGGTAAATTATAGCTCCCTCTGCGGTCAACCACAGGGAGACCAATTATTTATCTAAGGTTTATAATTTCCTATGTCACCCCCAGGGCCGTGCCTGACGGGCGTTCATTGCGTGCACCGCACGCAGGCGGCCGAAATTAAGAGGCGGCCAAATCGTTACAAGTTGTTTACTGGGCAAAAATACAATCGGTTTGTTTTCAACCTTCTAAACGCCGTAAGCATCATATGATGCGCGCGCTTACATACCGCCAACGACCGCTAGCATCATCTCAGACCAAATAAAAAGTACTATTTATTTGGTCTGAGAGCATCATATGATGCTCCCAGCGAGTGTCAAATGATTCTGGGGGTCGGTGACGGATATTTTTCCTTATAACTTCGGTCGTAAGATGTATTTTTGTATACGGTTTTCGGTATAACACAGATAAGTTAAAGAGCTACTGACGAGATAATTTTGTCTGTGATTATAAAACCAATACCATAATTTTTTTCATGTTATTATTTTTGTTTAAATTTTAAATAAAAAAATGTTTATTTTGTGCATTTTTTTTTTCTTAAATTTCATCCAAACATATAAATCTCATAAAACCGGTTTTTAGCCGGTTTTTCTTTTCAGAAACCGGTTTTGGGAACAAAACCAATATTTTTTTTCGTTCTCGATTTCGGTTAACCAAAAACTGTTTTTTTTCCCGGTTTGATGCCCTGTGTATAATAATAAACATTAAAAATTAAAGTAGTTTTTTTTAATGTTATCCTGGGGGCGGCCATACAGACTGGCACGCAGGCGGCCATATACCCAGGCACGGCCCTGGTCACCCCAAATGCTAGAAAACCATCATATTAGTTACTTCGTTTAATATTATATTTATAATTTTATTAACGGATTTCAACGAGAGAAAAATTATGACTAGTAAAAGTCTGTTGATCTTAGAGTCTATGCATGCATGCGCGCTTCTTTGATCTACGATTATTTAATGTAAGTAAAGTAAAGTAAGTACGAAGTATAGTTTGGAATTTTTGTTGTATTTAGTCAGCCGCACTAATTTTTTTTTATTTATTTTTTTATTTATTTATTTAGGTCAGCCAACGGTTGCTACATAGAAACTTACAATAAATCTTATCTACTAAATTTAATGTTAAATGTGCTAACCAGTTAAAGGCCAACACTGCATGCACTTACATATATTAGGTAAAGTGAACATTTTTTTTTATATATTATAATAATAACAAAGATTACTTATATAAAAACTAATAACAGAGTCATGCATAAAGTAACCGATCATATATTCATTTTTATTTTAGAATTTGTGTTATATTAAGCTTTAAGTCTTATGTTTCTATCAACTGTCACTTAATGCTTAACATTTACATGCATGTCATGTCTCATAAGCCTCCAGAAATCCTTGTTTGAACTTTGCCATCGAATCGTTATTGACATCTAAGGTCCGACTATATTTGTTGAGGAGTTTGCACAAACGAGGTATTGGGGAATTAGCGCCTAGGACAGTTCTACGCAAGGGTGGGATCAATGGTTTTATGGCGAGCCGTGGGTTTCTACGGGGAACGTTGAATTTTATTTTTCCTAGTAGTTGGCAACAGTCAATTTTGTTCCTGAGAAGTTTGTATAGAAACTGCAGATCCAACAAGTCACGTCGCTTATTCAATGGCATCATATTGAAGTAGAATAGTCTGTCACTATAGTTTCTAATCCTATTAGCAATTCCCGAAAAGCGTGCCAAATGCCACAGAAACCTCTTTTGAAGTCTTTCCAACCTTAGATTATGCGTTGAAAAATGTGGACGCCATACTACACTGCAATATTCAAGAGTGCTACGAACAAAGTTGTTATACAGTAATTTTTTAGTTTCAGTTTTGCGAAATAATTTTCCATTTCTCATAATGAAACCCAACATTTTGGAACTTCTCTTAATTATGTGATCCATGTGCAGACCAAATGTGAGCTTGCTGTCATATATAACACCCAGATCCTTAATATGGTGAACTTCCTGTATTAATTCGCCTGACACAGAGTAAGAGGAAGGAACACATTTGCGATTGCGAGAAAATCTCATGTAAAAGCATTTCTGGATATTGAGACTCATGTTATTGTTAATGCACCATTCCGAAAGTCTATCAATATCAGCTTGGAGCAACAGAGTATCATTGTGAGATTCAATCGATCTTGCAATTTTGAGATCATCAGCATATAGGAATGGGCAAGAGTTCTGGAAGCTTTCTGAAATGTCATTAATGAAGAAATTAAATAGGATGGGCCCAATATGAGAGCCCTGAGGCACGCCAGATGTAATGACGTGTTCACTCGACCTCGCCCCATTCATAACAACATAAAAGGATCTTGAGTCTAGATATGACTTAAACCAATTTAAAAGTGGTCCCGCTATCCCATATACTGAAAGTTTATGGACTAAGATGCTATGTGTGACTCGGTCAAATGCCTTACTTAAGTCTGCGTATATAACATCTATTTGCTTACGCGAGTCTATTAATTCGGCTAAAAATTCCGTAAATGAGACTAGATTAGTACATGTTGACCGAGCCGTAACAAAACCATGCTGATTTTGAGATATTAAATGTTTCATATGGTTTTGTAAAATTGGACACAGAAGGGACTCAAAAATTTTCGATAAAGCACTCAATATAGATATAGGTCTATAACTTTTGACTAAGGTTTTATCGCCATGCTTATGTATGGGAACCACCTTTGCTTTCTTCCACACATCAGGAAACGTACCCGTTTTTAAGGAACTATCAAATATTTGACTTAATGGATCCACCAAATTAGATGCACACTCACTTATGAAAAATGGCGGAATCTCGTCTGGACCTGGTCCCTTGTTTTTATCTATCTTTTTCAACTTTGACTCTATTTGGTGCCTATCAAGTGCAATGTTTGAAAGATATTCACAAGAGACGTAGAAGTCTGGCTTATATCGTTCCCCTTGATGCCCACAGTATACGGTTGAAAAATAAGTTGCATACATGTTACAAATTTTAGTATCGTCACTCGATGTATTTATTTCGTCAGACATCGTGGTCGGATAAATACTTTGCCCATCTTTTTTATGTTTAAAATATGACCAAAAATATTTTGGATTATCTGCTATAGCATTTTCTACAGACACGATATATGAATTGTAGCAAGCTAAAGATTCCCTGTCACATCTTTTGCTCAAAAGTTTGTAAGTAATTTCGTCTAATGGGTTTTTATATATCTTAAATCGAGATCGCACTTTTTCTTACACTAATAAAGAAACCAATTTAAAATGGCATGACATCAGCTTATTTTTTATTTTCGCATTTATTGTTTTTATGGAGGTGAAATAAAATAAAATTATACTCTATTGGGATGTGCTCATCAAGGTCATTAATTGATAAAAGATTCGATTTGACAATTGCCTTATATTCGCTATCTTGTTTTATCTTAATCAATCGAGAAATTATCATTTTTTGCCCGTGGTCCTACTGAGTGATCCTACTACGGGCAATAAGTACGGGAATTTTTGTCAGCCGTAGTTAATGTACCTATGGATTTTAAAGTATTTTTTATTAGCAGAAGCTGCAAATAAAATTCAAGGCTAGTTAATAAAAATGTTTTATATTATGTTAAACAGAACGTGTTCTTGTTAACACAAGCACTGTTTATAATAGTGTGATATTGAACCAAGTTACCTAACACTACTTTATCCAGTAAAAATCCACAGGATGTAGAACTTTCCTGACTTTTATACAGTATAGTATACTCTCACGACGTATTCCGGTGGAAGCGGTAGTGGCGCTGATCTGAAGTTAACTATCAAAGCTGTAAACATGATAGATGCATCATATTTAACTGTTTTAATACTTCTTTAGACGAAAGAACTTTTTTCCTGTCCGTACCCTCGGTGTCCGCGGTATTTTAAATCCATTGTGGGTTAATCGGTGCGGTTGTGAACGATCTATAACGGCAGAAAAACGTCCTCCGCAGGAAAAAGTCCTCACCTGCACAGGCTATAATTATTAAACAGTTATTTAACAATACAGCAGCAGTACTGAATTGAGTTCCTATGCTTAAATCTCTTGTAGTGTGTGTCTAGTATGCAACAAACCCTATACAATCCTTTGGCGCTCCAAATTATATGGAATACTAGCTGACCCAGCGAACTTCGTACCGACATAAAAAAATAGGGGTTGGTGATAGAAGGGTGAAAATTTAGGGTTGTATATATTTGTGTATAATGTATCATAAATAAGTTCAAAAAAAAGTTTTATCTAAAATTGAAAAAAAAAAAATTAGGGTGGATTACCCTTAACATTAAGGGGGACGAAAAATAGATGTTGTCCGATTCTCAGACCTACCCAATATGCACACAAAATTTCATGAGAATCGAGAAAGCCGTTTCGGAGGAGTTTAACCACAAACACCGCGACACGAGAATTTTATATATTAGATTTATCTTTTGATAGCAGTCAGTTTCATTATTTATATTAACCCAAATCGCCAACAGTACATTGCAACCCTGTCAATGGTTTTAAATAAATAAAAAGTGCTAAAGTGAATAAAAGGACTATTACGTGTTAAATTTAGACCAAAAAAAGTGCTTTGTGAATGAGTAAAATTGAAAGACAATAATTATTATGACGTGTATAAGATAGATATAGGTACCTTATGTAAAAAAAAATGTGTCTGATACATAATGATAAATTAAATTAAAATATGGAACATTTGAAAAATTATGGAAAAGCAGGGTGGCGGTTAGTTGGTGTCTGTTGTAGTGGCAGCCGGGAGCTGTTCCTGATGATGGCTCGCC